GGAGCAGTCGAGATGCTCAGACTGGGTTTAAACCATGGACCTTCGGGTCAGTAAGTTCGCGCCCTAACCACTGAGCTATCTCGAACTCTGTTGGACACTTTGGTCATATGCATCGCCTCCAGCAGATGCGTCGCAAATGTTAAGTTGGATTGTTTCTCAAAGTTACCGCTGCAGCTTTCCGGAATGTGTTTGGGCAAGTAAGTCACTCAACTTTTTGTCTGTTTTTCTGGCAGACAGTTGACCTGTGGTTGGCAGTGAAGCATCAGTGCCAACACTGATGTTGCTGTCTTTGATGATGATGATGACCGTGGTTGGTCTAATTAAATGACAGTGTGGCTTCAGAGCACTTTTCTTCGGCGCCACATTTTCCCGTAGTTTCCATTAGTTAGCGTTTTAAGGATATGTGGGTATCTTCATATTCGAGGAGCGAGATGGCTCAAGTGGTTAGAACGCGAATTTACTGACCTGAAGGCCTGTGGTTCGAACCCGACCTCAGCCTCTCGACTTCCTCTGTCTAGGATTGGGCAACCTGGCAGTATCCCAGCCCTCGTGCTTTCTTCAGGTAGCATGTCAGTTAAGAGCCGAAAGAGTGCTACGGCTGAAACACATATTCACTGCCTGTTTGTATGCGTTCCGCGATGTCATTTCATTGACTTGATCATTCAGATCAGCACCTGATTGTGTCAAAGAGTTGGACAGGCGACTTCGAACGAGATAAGAGTAGTTCCTCTTATTCTACCATGGATGATCGATGTGCTTATAGCCAAGAATATGCTGATTGAATTCCGATAACTTCCAGGCTAGGTCAAATGAATATCATTGGTTTTCTCCCAGGGCTGAAGAGATGCATTCTCACATGATTTCGACTTGAAGGTACACAAGACTCAGCAGTTGTTCTTGGAGAGATATGATGTAGTAACCGAAGTTTTTCTCTCCCGATTTCAGAATTATTCACGAAAGTGCGTTATCGCGAGAAATTTCCAGACGACCGCTCGTTTTTCATGCAAACATACCGTTCCCTATGGCACTTGATCCTCAAGCCACCAAAGAAATACGAAATGACTGGCAACACCGGGAAAACATCGAAGTTATTAATACCAGCATGAAAAGTATTGTAGAGTTTTTGAATCGTTTCGACTCTTCATGCCGGCTCAAATTGTCACGACTCGAAAGTAAACTTACGAACGCTGAGAAGGGAATGGACATTTTGGAAGCAGAGGTACAGCGAAGTCTCAGCCAGCAGGCAGCTCGAACACGAGCTCCTGGCCAGTCCAATGCTACAGGTGATAGGCATTAGTTTCTGCCTGATTCATGTGTCCGTGGGAAACTGAATCTCTTACTGAAAACACGCTTTTCTATTTATTTATTTCCACAAACGCCGCCATTCAAACGTATGTATTTGTTTCAATTTCTTTCATAAGTACTTTATCTTGACATCCTTACCGTTTAATGTGTAATGCGTGGGTCGGATGGTGAACATGTCAGAACAAACTATCGCTAACCATGGGTTTCTAAGTTCTGTGGTGAGGCAAATCCCATTCGAGAAGAGACCTTGGGTCTCGTAGTGCTTCCACTTTGAAATTCGATTATTAATCTCGTTTCATTTCGTTCGCTCGCTATTTTCACGATCAAGTAGCGTAAGCGAAACAAGTATTCCGGTGAACTAAGTCTAAACCGTTGTCACCGAGCCTGTGGTGCGAGGTAACTTTACATAGCTATTTACCACATTTTCGATGTTGCTACGATTCCCTGTAGTGGAATGATGAACAGGCGCACTGCCCAACAGTCCACACAGACGCGAACATCAATGGACAATCATTCAGTTGAAGACCCTTCAATTCGATGGCTTTAAACAACGCCATCCTCAGTAGAACTAGAAGCAAGCGGAAACCGATGGAGGTCGGTTCGGCGACATTAATTGGGTCTTGCACCCTGATTTCAAACGGGAAGCACGGAAATAGAAAGCGAGTACATCATACACGCAAGAGCAGTCGGTTATCGAGTTCGTTTCAGAGTACCAACGTTAGTGGCTGCCAGATGAACTGGGTATCGAGATTTGGAGAATGAGTTGTAAGTGTCTGCAGCCGTGGAGACCGAGTCAACCGTAAATATTGCAGCTAACGGCAATGGGTGGTTAACGGATCAATCAGTCCTTAACAGTGGGTGTTCGGAGATGTGTCTAGGAACGTTGAGGAGAGAACGAGCAAATAGGTGAGAAAAATGAGGGAGGCGTCAGCAGTAGATTGCTTTCGCCTAACCACCATGCGTTATGCACCGGGTAAGGCGACCTGGCTGATGGCACCGCACAACAGTCGATGTGGCATGTAGACAATTCATGGTTATACATGGGAAGGGATATTTCAGGGCGCTCACCCACAGACAGGACGATTGTGATCACCAACCAATGCGTTCGGCTCAAAAGCCTAATTGCCGGACAGCAGTGGGTGATGTAGGGCCGCCAGAGTGGTCTACATATTTAAGGAGCGGGTTGCCGTACATGTCCCAATCCCCAACTCGGATGACTAAGAGACCTTGCTATTCGGACTATGTATGACATTTGATATCGATATTTTATTTCGCCTGCCCTGGGCTTACATATTCATAGAACGAGACGGTCGACGGTTTTATTCACGTGTGGTAAATGAAGCTGAGCAAAATGAGTGATACTCATTTTGAGTTGGGTTACCAGGACGGATCAAAAGAACACCACACAGTTGTTTGTTGATAGACCCGTTATGACTGTGTTCAGTTTGGAACAGTCAGCTATCCCAATGAGGGTTGCTTTGCTGTTTGAATCCATACTTCCCCCATTGTTTGGCCACCGAGCCCATTACAGTGGCGAGACGCTCAGACAATACGAGTTCGGTGGAAAAAAAGGTTCTGTACAGGCATCCCTGACTTGAAGGTTGTTCGTAGTTGCAGTCTTGGAGCCATCTGCTTCACCAAGTATTTTTCATTGTCCTACATGAGTTTCTATGCATGCTGTTGCTGAAATGGTGTTGACTTATTAATATTCAAGCATCTTTCGTTTGAGGTGGATTATCTAACTGGACAGTGAAGGACCAGCAACAGACGCGATTTTAACTTCGATGAAGGTAAACGCCTGTCCCGGTGAGTACAGCGTAGAATTTGCGCAGCTATTTGTTGTAGCCAGCTGGGGAAAGCTGGCTGTTTGTGATGAAATCAGATAGGTTCCATATAAAATTCTAACGCATGACAGTATTGTGTAGCTTCAAATAAAAGCTGTTTATGACGTGTTACGAGCGAGCCGATTCATCCGCAAAAGACTTGAACGCAGCTTAACGATGCTACGATAGTCTATCCAATCGCAATACATTGTGATGCGGGTCTCAGAGCACGCAGATTTAGTATGATCTCATTGGGTAGTTTGCGAACTACCGTGGTATGTCGTGATATATAATACTACATGTTGATAAAGATCATACGGAACCTCCGCTCGGAATAGCTGTACTAGCGCAAGCACGGAACCGCCGTACAGCTGTTGGGTCGCATGAATTTTGTTTTGACGGCTATATGATAGCATAGGCTAAAATTTTCACGTTCTGTCCTACTGTTTAGTATTCAACTGAGGTAATTTGTGTCCGTAGGTTTTATATTCTGATTTTGAAGAATCAGCTTGTTTCATTTAACACCGTCTGAATGACTATTCTGATAGCTACCAGTGAACCGGATGAGAACGAGAAATTTCATCAAAAACGAAGAATATTCAAATATAAGAAAATACGGATCAAAAAACATTCTCATATAAAAAGTCTACATAGATGTCCCCCGCGTAATTTCAGGTGAAATCCACAGGTAAAAACCAGCTTCTCATAGTGGGATTAGGAAAGCATGGAGTTCAGTATTTCCTTTGTGGCGATCTGTTGGATTCGTGGCCAATCCACATCTAAATGCGACCGCCAAAAACGACGGCATCGTGACCAGGTTGAGCTGGGATATTGTGGAGTCGAGATTCCATGAAACAAGTTGGCGAGGGTGCGTCCGGAAAGACAAACATCTAGACTAGATCCGTGCATTCGAATGAACTCTCGAACACTTGTTTGAACTGAGGTAATCTGAAGAAGGGAAAGTGAATTCGGAGTGCTTTCTGGAGGCAGTAGTCGGACACAGTCAACTAATACCTCACAAGCGTATCGTCGATACAGGTCAAGTCGCAGAGTGTCTTGAAAGACCGTGGAAGAGGTGGCGTTTCAACATGCATTAGAGTCCCCTCTCCAGCGGCCAACTGAAAACGGCCGCTTGAGGGATGCACGTTGTGAATGGTGTCACAACCCTGTTTGGGCTACTACAATTAAGTGGATGACACTGATTTTATGGGAGGAATATATTAACTGGTGTCCTGAAAGCAACTCTGCAACAGCTTCTACTTCAGAACAGTGGAAATCCATCCAGTAAATGGGATTATGTAAGGTGAAGGGAACAGATTAAAATCCGTCATTGTTTTTCTAGAGAACCACAACCACTAACCCATTGCTACGCACCACTACGCTCCTCAATAGCGCACTGATGATGTCACCTCGATTGGTGATAAAACGATTGCAATCAAATTGCCCAGTTCAGCGAACAAGCCAACGATAATCCGTCATTGTGTTGAGTCGCGGTGAGTCACAGAGACATAGCCAACAGAACCCGGAAACAAACCTATGTAGATAGGTTTCCTCTTCACGACAAAACTATTTTTTCACCATTGTTTCCCCAGTGGTGTTGGTTAAATTTATTTCACGTAATTACATAGGTGAGATTAGTCGCACGCTTCATCTTGCCCGTGATTCATCAGGTAGATATAGCAGAATCGCCTGCTTGGTGTTTGAGTCCAGACTTCAAGCCTCTGAACTCAACTCTACAAGCTGTCAACCATACGTGTACGCGTGGCGTGAGCAGCCGAACGTAACAGTTGAGTTGCTTGGCGAATTCCAATCATGCGCCAATCCAGATAAAAAAGGTCTCTTTTGCTGAAATAGCAGGCTAATATATCAGCATTTGCATAGCGCGCGAAGTACTTTTGGTGAAATTCTACTTTCTTGATTACCTTCATCCGTCCAGAGCATTCGGATTTTAACCCAGGGAAGCTGCCCGATGAGTTCGCGAGTTTTATTTGACACTCACACCACGTCTGGTTAACTAGTTACTATGCTAGGAGTGTGGTACACTACTTAGATAACCTCACCGATCCATCTGGCGGCTGGAACTAAGCTGCACACAACAACGACGCTCAGGGATTGAACCAACGTTACCTGGAAGCCACAACTGCAATGCTTTGAAGCATCCTTGGCACCACTTCCTTTTGAGCACTGAACAGGTGGTTTGGGTTAACTGGAGAGCGTCACCTGAATCATCACAAACGATGCTATTTTTGTCCATTCAGGATGAGTGGCAGATCTATTGCGATGCAACGTGCCCGGTCAAAAGCATCGGTGAGCATGTAACCAATCTACCTGTGCCAGACTTTGAGAAGGCCAGAGGCTTACCGTGAAATCCACTTTGTAAAAAATCGTTCAGCTGTAACAACCTTTCGGTGTCTACCTGCCATACCACCCGAGGGAAGCGCGAGGGCTTGGATATTGCCCAAGCCTAGACCGGGGAAGTCGAGATACAGAGGGTTCGAACCACTGAACTTCTGGTCAGTAAATTCGCGCTCCAACTACTGATCCTTCTCGCCCGCTTTGTAAAGCGAAGCTGAAAACCGCGTGTAACTAAACTAAAAATACCCATAATAGGAAAGAATGCCTCAAATTCGGTTTAAGGGTCAAATGTATTCGGTAGATACTACGATGTCGTCGGCGTCCGAAAAACACGAGGACTAAGAATACCCCTTAGCTGACCACAGTGCACACATCACACAGATAAGTATGCGTAACACTATATCATGTGGAATTCTGAATGGGGGAAACTGGTATCTGGATGAAACCGGGTGTGTGATATGGACGGTTTAGGTGGTTATCAGCTCACCATGAGAAAAGAAGATATTCAAAAGTGCCGAAGCCTCTTTGGATTAAGATGCCGTACCTATGGGAGGCAGTTGTCGGTTGATCATAGTCGCAATCACTTCCTACACTTGGACACAGAAATAACCTTTTTCGCAGTATGAGGAACAATACTTGTACACGAAGACACCTCGATCCTTATTTTCTAATTGAGGCGATAGGTTTCGCCCTCTCATCACGTCTCATTGTCAGACAGTGTGGAATGTGTTTTATCCTAAAATTTGTTTATTATTGCACTAGCTTAGATAGTATCCTTGAGGCGACATACTGCTTTAGATGTTCGGACATTATCAAACAGAAAAATGACAAAAAAACAGTGGGCAAGTGTATTGCAAAATTGAATGTCTTAAATTGAACGAACGCACGACAAGCCAACAGAAATCAACCGCATTTTGGCCAGTGTACACAAAAGTATGAATAACTCGAAAAGCACTCGCGTCCCAATAAAAGACTATAAGCATGGTTAAGTGGGCGTAAGGTGGCATGTGGCATCGGACGAGTGGATCCTACATCACTAGCTGGTGTTTAGTATAACAGTTAAATTCAGCAAGGGCTTAAAGTAATGTGTTTGGTTGGGTGACAACAGGGTCTTAGGAACCACTGATTTGGATTGGAGCCGGAAGAGCCCGCCTGCTGCTAACTCATCCAGAGTGTCAGGACTTCCAAGTCAGTCAGCGCCGCGGACGCCCGAATTTCGCTGGACAGATTTCGACCTCGTTGTAGGTGGTCGCGCGATCTGTAGTTCTGACAGCCGGGTCAATCTATCCTCACAAGCAAGATAATTACTGGGTCGTCGTTCGAGGAGTCGAGCATACCAATCACATCACTCAAGACTGAACACGTTCGCCTGTTCAGAAATGAAAATTCAGATGCGTCCCTTGCCCCGCATGTCAGGTGCGCGGAGTTCAAACCACAGTACTGCTGATGAGCTCCAATAAGAGCGAAACTAAAGTTCAGTGCTTCCCCCTTTTGGTATGGACTAACCAGAACAATTACACCAAGACTGGAGGACGACTGTTCGAACGAGAGTGATGTAAATGTGAATACTACAAATCCCGCAAACACCTACAGCAAAATGAGTGACTTGATTAAAAAACTGGACCGGTACCAAATACAAGAGGTACATCACAAAACTGAACGGAACACTGTTGATTTGAGAACTGCGTGTGCAGGAAAGAAAGTGGTCTTGTGTTGCTGAGTGTCACGATTGTATATTATTGGATAACAGCTACTTGCTAGTATCAAGTATCTCCGCCAAATAAATGCTAGATACAAACCTGACACAAGTGCTGTGCACTGGGACTTCCCTAGCGTGGCTTTGAAAAGTGCAAACAAATTCGGTCGGGTTGGGGGAGTTTGTCGTTATACTGTTAGGCAGGATTCCACACGGATCTTGCTAAAACGCGCGTCTTCAGGCGCTACTACGGCCGATAAGCCTAGCCCGCACGAGACTGGCCAACAATTCGGGACGCTTGCCGGTCCGGCATTAAGACGAGATCTGATTAGTCGAAAATCTGGACCCAACAGCCAATCATATGCCGGTTGCCAATGGCGCGTCCAGAACGCGTCAGAATTTCCAGAAGGTTATAACCACCTACGCTATATATACGAAGCGCTGTACAGTTGTTCTTGACTTCGTTTTGGTTATTAATAGACCTTGTGCATCTTTGGTAGTTGTTTTGACGTGAACACTAGCTTGGGAGGCTCAGACCGAGAACTAAGCTGAGGAAAATACCGTTACTACAAATACGGAAATACCAAGAGCTTAACACTTCAGACTACTGTACGTGGTCACAGGGCCGTAGTAGAAAAAGAGTCGTAACAAGGAGGCACACAGGGTTCAACACCGAACTTACTTGCGCGTTTGTAACAGGTGGAGGCCAATGGAAATCGTCGGAATCTTCCACCTCATCATTTTGCTCACCAGGTTTTGCGGTTTCATTGAAGTGCGCCAATATCAGTTTGTGCACAGTGTCAGAACGCGCCATTCGTCGTTCGAAAGCCTCTTTGAACCGATCGGTGCCATCATCAAGTGCTGTTTCAGGGTAAACTTTATCAACTTCTGTCTCTGCTACACAAGCCAGCGCATGAGCTAGGCGGTCGATGCTTGACAGACCAGCTGTCTCAACTGTTCGCAGACGATGCTGTAGGTACTGCAGGCACCGATCCAATCGCTCTGGACTAACCGGAATGTGAGGCCCATGAACCCAAAACCAGCAACTCCATTGAGAGAATTTCACATTGATCCCAGTCCTATACGGCTGAGAGTTCCCTGACGATGAGCTGTGAGTATCCCACTCAAGGCCACGCAACTCTTGCCGGACAGTAGACGGGCGCCAACCCCATCTGTTACAAGCGTCAACGAGATTGATTGTGACTTGACGTGAAAGGAAGACCGAATCCTTTCCTTTGCGTTCAACTTCCAGACCTAAACCGGCAGCGACAGCTAAGCATCGTTGAGACGCATAGGCCAATTCGTCTGGACCACCGTAACAATCAACTGTGGCAATCTAAAGAAAAAAATAAAAACGAGAATAATAAAAACATCCTATATAGGTGAACACAGAACGATGTTAAGATGCAAACAATAATGATGCCAACAGTGAAAATTAATAATGATAATAATAACGATTGACCACCGTTTTAGGCATAGACAGATCTGGATAGATTGAAACCGATAGCGGTTCGAGGAAAATATACAATCAACCCGTTAAACAGTCGAGATGAGTCTCAAGATCACGGTAGATTAGTATAATTATTGGACGTGTATTCTCACCACTTTTGTCCGAACGGCCTCCTTGTGTGACGCAGCCATTCGGGCTCGATTTTTGTTCATCGAAGGTGCAGACCGTCATCATATGGTATACGTGGCAAGCATGTTACTGTTACCCAAGAAGCTTATACTGGAAGTGATCGAATGGAAATGCAACTTTTTCGACATGGGGAAAGAAAGGTCATGCAGTCTTGAACTCGCGACGAGTTGCGACACACTAGGATAAACCTATGGCCTTTGCACTTCGCGAAATCAGCGAAGAAATCCAGATGATCAGATGGACAGAGCTGTGTTTTCAACTCAAAGTAAAGATCACGAATTCAAGTTAGCTTCTCACCCCAGTGAGCCAGTATTAGGTGTTTTACATGTGAACTACTGAACTTGATCACTTCCGTTACCACGGTTTTGTCACTGCACACTACACATTCATCGGAATGCAATAAAGCCAACTTAGAGCAATCTGCTTACTGGTAGCGACAAGCAGATGAGCTCTGTATCGCACCCCACACTGATGGCCCTTCAAAAGTATACATAAATACATTTCACGATAGAAAACATGCAAACTCACGACCGAACCCAGGTTACTACACCTATAACGCTTATCTCTCCTGAGGCGACCGTTTTTGGCCGTCTTGTCGCTGCCGTTTCAGAACTGATTGTCCCTTATTGAGTCCCTGCGAACGCGTGTATGAAAGTTTGACCATGGTTCACAAGAGCTTCAGACAGTCCAGATGCGAAACCACTGACGGACGGTTCATAGCAAGAACCAAACTCCGACTTCTCGATTGTTCCTGTCTGGGTTTGGGTAGCCCAGCAGAATCTCAGTTCTGATGCTCCCTTCGGGTAACATGGTAACCATGCACCAAGGATTATGTAATAATATATAACATGATATAATATGCAATGCAATATATAGAAAAATGCAATGTAGCATATAATTAATATAAAATTTACATACTTATAATAATATAACTAACACAATACAATACAGTACGTAGTATAGCATAGTGTATAATATAATGTAGCATAATATGATGCAACTTAACTATAATGTAATATATTGTAATATGTGAAATACAATATAATTATAACAGAGTATAGCGCAGTATGTATAATTCGTAATACAAGATGTATCAAATTCACAACAGCGGTCATCGCAGTTCAGAGGACTAACATCAATCAAATTCCAGAGTTGCCTTAAGGCGAAAAGACTGCACATATGACTTGAACGCAGCCAATGAACTTATCACAAAACAACGCAGCCATCACACAACAATCCCAGAAATTCTTCACGACAGCCTGGCCATCCATCTAAGCCAACTATTAAAGCGTTCTATCCTTTTTATTCTACACTGGCGAGACGAGCTCAGTTACCCGCTTGCAAAAAGTGTATCCACAAAGATGTACTAGCTGAGGTTCCCTTCACAGAAAACAAAGCTTATTTTTTCCTGGGTTGCTTATAGTCTGCTGTCGCATCAAACAAACGATAAAGAAGGTATTTATGGACATAAAACGAATTCGAACACCCACCGCATACGCTGATTGAAGAATCGATATGAGTGGACCATCCGGATCGAGTTCCATGAAAGCTAACAACGTTGCCAGACTTTCCGGTTTGATATCCAAGGCCTCACCGACGGCCACGGGATCTATCGCATTGACGTGGCCGGAACATTGTCCCGGTGGACGACAGGTGCACTTAATCCCATCAAAACACATTCTCAAAAATTTCTTGAGCATAACCAGATCGATGTGGTTAGTAAAAATGTGCCGTCGTAGTTCGTTGGCCTCACGTGGGTCCGTCCCAATAGCAGGAGGGAGGAATGCATGACAATAGGACTCTTGTTGTGCACGACCGACCCGGCCGATTTCCTAGATTATGGAAATTTGGGAAAACGGATCACGGTATATGCAGTGACAGTCACATAGGACACAACCAAACAAGATGCATAATCCACAGGTATGTGGGTCACTGTCAAGCGGTGCCGTGAAAACCATAGTCCAGTTAGCGATAACAAGCTAAACAGAGTGCCTCTTCAGATTCTCGCTTCANACTTCCGTCCATGCCCCAAGGCAGGTAAGCAAAAAGCCTCCCGGGGCCCTGTTCACAGTACAACACCGCTGATATCCAAAGTATGCTGCGTGATAATCACAATGCTCATTCAGTTGTGACACCCTTTAGCGCATAGCTGCCATGTCACCCAAAGGAAGCACGAGGGCTGAGAGTGCCAGGTTGCCCAAACCTAGACCAGAGCAGCCGAGATGCCGGGTTTGGGTTCGAAGCACAGGTCTACAGGTCAGTAAGTTCGTGCCCTACCACTGAGCGCTTGAGAAAGATCAGTGGTGCAGTCATAATATTTGACATAAAGGAACTATTTGATCTATACACTGCCGACCTAATGGAAAACCAGGTTCATATTCATATCAGGGAAACAGAGCTCGCCAGCAATCCAGAGGCATCTATCACGCTCGTACCATGGCAGTCGCTGAAATAGAACAGACATTCACATTTAGGGACTCGATATGAGGGATGCAGCGACATAATGCCAACACCCGACTACTAGATTGTCCTAATTATGGAACCATCTTTCATGTGCGTTCCCCTAGGTACCGTACGTTACACATATGAGGATGATGCAAACTGCCCACATCTCAAGCACCGGTTTCGACTTGTCAGAGGCGTCGTTCCCGATTTCCGTTGTTTGTCGAACAGTTTCCACCAAATTTACAAGTGGAACTGTATAACAAAGAAAAATTGGTGCCCTGAATCTTGAGACATTCTGTGCTGTACATTCGGTCGAGGAAGGCCAGTAGGGCCCCACGACAGCCACATTTCGGTTTGCAATCGAGTCTGTTGAAGGTACGATCCCTCAGGCAACAGAAGAAGGGTATCAGAGGAACTGGCACTTTTGAAGGTCCGAGTAGTGTGATATTGTGCTAAGTTGTAGGATGTGCTTTGACTGTAATTGTATTAGTTTATTACTCACCTACCGATGGCTATTTAGCGGTTCATAGGCGTATCACTATTAGTGACCCTAGAATAAGTGATATCCGAACTCAAGTACTCGAATGGTGATAATAAGCTACAGCGGAGTTTGAGAAGCACAATGGGAACCTGAAAAAAATGGATAATGCGGAGACCTACTGTAACAAAACTTCCATTCAGTTAAAGGCCACATGCTCAAAATAACGGTATTGAAAATGATGGATTTCGTTGCGTGGGTGAGAACAATTGTATAGAAAGTTGCAACAGAGAGTAGACACTAGGATGGATTTCGGACTGATGTTGAAGTGTCTTATGACATTTGTAATGCACTACTCATAAGGTTGCTGAAAATTCGTCGACAGCCCACAACCGGTTTCGCCCTTCTCAGGGCTCATCAGGTAGGCTCAGTGTCCAAGTTTCCGTCAACCTTATGTTTCACTTGAGACCAAACTGCACGAAATTAGCAAAATACACTCATTCACAAACTCATTTGATTTTTGAGAGACTCACCTGGAACCCAGTTAAGTCTCTCGATACATTACAAATATACATGTATCGCGATATCTCGAATATCGCAGCGACTGAAACATGAGGCGGCCTGGTGCAGCACATTCAGTTACTCAAAAAACATCATGAACGAGAGATTCAGCTGAGTTCCAAGTGAGTCTCCCGTCAAAACCAAATGGATATGCAGACGAGTGTATTTGTCGAAACTATGTTATCTACTTTTAACAGGGCTGAGTAGGCTCTAAGTTAACAAACCTGACCGTTAAATGTGGTTCAAAAATATAGGCAAAAAGCAGCGTGTCCATAGAAACTCCCGTTGACTACACATCACTGAAAACTAGTCACAGCGTGCTGTGGCATCAGGCAAGGAAGAGATCCAAGAATTTCCAGTCGAAAAAAACCTACAGGAAAGATTAACGCGTACTACTTATTGACGACGTCTGAAGTTTGGCAGATTGCCCTCCAGTTTATACTATTCTCCAGGCAAGGCTGATGGTTTACGCTCAGAAGTTGACGGGTTAAAGCTACCGCATGAATAAGGAAGTCTCACTCAAGAGATGATTCTTCTTTCCTACGTACCATTGTGATCCGAAAAACATGACAAGGTAAGGACGAAATAAACACAATGGTGCTTGAATAAACCCCTATAGAAGGTTGGTGCGCTGGAGGACTCGTCTTGGACCAACACAGGGAAACCATAACGGCAAACACAGCCTTACTTGTATGTAGTTCTCGAAAGACTTGGTAAGCGAATAGTGGATCACGGCTTGTAGGTCGGGTTTATTCAGTCCCATGCCAAAAGCAGACGTTGCTACAAGCACACGGATATGCCCATTCATGAAGCGTTTCTGCACACGACTCCGTTCGGCGGCAGTTTGGCCAGCGTGGTAGGCTGCAGTTGTCCATTCAAGACGGCGGCGGCCAACCTGACGAATCGATAAAAAGTACAAAGCGGTGTCCTCAAGTTGTACAAGAACACATGCAAAATGTCGTCATAATAACATGGCGAACAAAATGCGAGACCGGCGAACGGCACAAGGTGATATATCCGTACATTAGTGAGGTTAGATTGTATTTCTTTGATCGTGAATTTCTCAGAGGTTTTATCGAAGAATCAGTGTCGGTGGACTGGTAATTTCAACTGAATTCTATCAGTGCACTAAGTGAATTGGTTCAACTACAGCATTACAGCTACCCTAAAAGCGGAAAGATTCAACAAGGCTACCGAAACCTCATCAGGAGGACGGAGTAAGTCAAAGCACAGGCCTTGTAGTCACAATCTATCATCTAAGTCTCCCAGGACATCCGGAGACCACCAGTCCTGCTTCGTGACAGAGAAGCAATGTAGAGCTGAGACCATCCCGCATGAGGGCCCACCCATAACTCGGAAAGTGCGAAGTAAGAGCTCCCACGTTCTAAACCGTGGTAAAATTAAATCTCCAGTGTATCGCCAGGAATGTGGTAATGTAAATTTTACGTTCAAGTCGGCACAATAAATTTACTAATCAGTGAGAGCGGGATCACAGTGAGGCAAAGAAGTCGATCGCTGGACTATGCACGGCTATTGTTTATTAATCTAGGCACCATCTGGCACTGTTCAACCTTAATTCACTTCTTGCTCGAGAGTCATGCGACAAAACAGTTCGAGATAAACTGATTTGTGGTCGGGAGTCGTGCAAACTCACGCCGAGCCCAAGGTTTAGGTTGAACTGGCGGTTGAAAAAGATAAGTAGCAAAGCACGGAGTGATTCTGTGCCTAGGATGCAACTGCTTAGGACGTATTAAGGTTAATCATGAAACATCGTTCCCTCTGCACCCTAGATGGGAGAAAGGAACATCGCCCGAAGGCAATGTCACATGCTTAATTTATTCCGCGGAAGAAACCGAATGCAGCGTTCCACCTGGAAAAAACAGGGCATCGGGGGTTTTCCACTGTAGAACCCTGGTATACAAAACACCTTCCGAAGGAGCCGGATTAGTTTCAACCATGTGTAGTTCATATTACATTAGAAAATTCCCAAACTATCCGTTTCTTTCCACTGGGTGAAGCATTACCTATACGTATTCGGAGAACTGCATCGAACGTAGACTATATGCATGTACTGCAGAGACAGCACTAGCTGTTTTATTACCGCCTATTAGTAGCGAGGCAGCAAAGCAAATATGAAGAACGGCTGTAAAATAGACGCTCACTTGATCGACCACTCCTTGTAATGTAGTTCGAATAAATGAAGCAAGTCGTTCTGTAAGGTCCCTGGTAGCGCAATATATGAGAATACCACCCTTTAGTTTATTGAAAGGCGGCCGAGTTAGCAGAGTGATGAGACCTGAATCACGCTCCATATCCGTCGATGCGGTGATACACAAGTGAGACGGGATAGGCGAGAAGATGGGCTGCACATAGCCTGGTAAAGACAGACTTGCATCATCGATTGTTTCTCCAGTCAACCGGTTGGGTGACTCAATACCAAGATTACTGCAAACGTTATTTATAGTCTCAGGCGTGCACGTTGCAGAGAGGCCTATGAGAAAAAGAAGAAGTGAAACAATGTACATTAAGATGCCGGCGGAGGTGAAGGAAAAGTGACTTTATGTGGAGCGGAAGTCAGCAATTATAAACCAGATGACGACCGAATGGGACGTACTGTTGCTTGAGAATCGTTCAGCTGTAGTACCCTTTCGGTGCCTAACTGCCATGCCGACGGAAGCACGGGGGCTAGGATACTGCCAGGTTGCCCAAGCCCAAACAGAGGAATTCGAGAGGCAGAGGCCGGGTTCGAACCACGGACCTTCCGGTCAGTGGATTCGCGCTCTAACCACTTGAACCATCTCGTCCCGTACTGTTGCTTGGCTTCGTTGCAGCTACAAATGCTTTAGCTGCCTTAGCGCTTAGCCAAGGAAAGAGTCTAACTTAGTTTCCGATGGGCACACATGACACACTAGGAATCTTGCAGCACTCAGCACTCGAGCTTCTATGTGGAAAAGCCAATGTCACCAACTCAGACTGTGAATGATTTGGTGGGTGTGTTGTTAATTCAATAGCAAGTCCACGGTGTCGACCGTGTGCAATTATGCACTCCCAAGGTCCAAATTTACCACTAAGAACGTTTAGACGAGAAAGCTACCGCCCAGAAAAACTATAAACCAGTTACTACTAATTGTGGCGAGATCGATCAGCGGTTACAGTGCGTATTTACTAACCATAAGGTCCGTGGTTCGAACTCGGCCTCTGTCTAGGCTTCAGCAACTTGGCAGTATCCCATCCCTTGTGCTTCCTTCAGGTGGCATGGCAGCTGGGCACCGAAAGGATGTTACAGTTGAACGATAACTGCCAATGGGTGATCACTCTTACTACAAATTTTCTCTAATCCTGAAAGAACAATAAACACTTTGTGCCGGGATTGAACAGTCCCCCTCTTGTTCTAGCGAAATTACTGTGGTGAGTTTGTAATTTGCATGCTATGGAAGCACTAGGGGGACAGTGATTCTCCGAAGGCAGGTGTTCACGACAACTTAATAAAGCTCATGAGCCAAAGCCCAGTAAGCAAGGTTGTACCTCACCAATACTTACATATAAATCAATCAAACTGACAGACACCGTATACCATAAGTTCACGCGGAAGAGAGAAACTGAATTCGTTTTTTGCCCTCATTAGACCTCATAAACACTGGACACCCTTGGGTTGACACTCGGAACATGTGAAATGCAGGCTAAGCGTGTTACCAAGGCAGGTTGCAAGCACCTGAATTATCGGGTGAACTTTTTCAAGCATGATCGATGTGATTGGTTTACTCGATTACTCGAAAGACGAGTAACTCTCCTACTTGTGCCGATCGGCTAAACTGTCAGCCATGGTTTCCAGTCCAAATGGCACCACAGACATAGCGATTCAGGCACGTCCAATGTGCTCTGTTTGAGTACTGGTAACATACTTGCCTCGCATGTCAGATGTTAGAGTTCAAATTCCGGCTCAAGCAAGAACGAAAATCAAGTCCAGTTGGAGCGCTGTTTGGTGTGGACTCACTAGAGTAATTGCGCCAGGGCAAGGGGAGAACTAGTCAAGCGACAGCACAATATCTCGTAATCACCTACGAATATATCCACATTGATTATAGGTGAATGCAACTAATCATGTTACGCGATGATGAACCAGAAGCTACTAAAGCGTGTTTTTCGTTTGGATCACAACTCCATGGGACCAGAGTAAGCAGGGTTTTGATACCAGGTATGTAGATCAGAGAACCGGATTAAATATATTGAGGGGATTTTTCAGTCGCATAATTGTGACAGAAATAGGTTAGATGAGGAACGACCGTCAGACCCAAAAACGGTGACTTAGGTCTGGCAAAAGTATCCAATAGTTTATATAAGTCCAGAAGCATGCGGCCACAAGAAAATTGTGGTCTTACACAAGAGAATGGAGTATTGAAAAACTGATAGGAAACACTGGGATACAAACACCGAACGGTTTCCTAATCAATCCTATATAAAAATTTAAAAAAAATCGATCAGCTCTGTGCCTAGTAGCCATGCCACCCGAATCAAGCATGAGGCCAAGTTGCCCAAGCCTGGACAGGAATAGGGACTGGGTTCGGACCATGAACCTTTCGGTCAGCAATTTCGCTCCCTAACCAGTGAAGCAACCCATAGTAAGAGAAACGAATGCTCACCGAGGAAGCAGGTTACAGAGAGACAGCTTCGGAGCAGTCTGCACAGACGTAGATAGGAAGGTCTGAAATGATGAGACCAATCGGCCAAACAGTGGGCTTCATCAATGCAGACAAAACTAATTGGAGGAAGCCTGCCAGGCTGCAATAACCAATCCGATTCCACCAGCGCTTCCGGAGACACCAACAGGAAGGCATATTTTCCGCTGCCAAGAAAAACAAAGATTAGATGTAGGAACGCTGAACAGTTCAGTTGAGTTAAAGTGGCCATTTGTTTCACTAAGGAGAAGGCAAGTTTACTTAAGGCTATAATGCCTCCTTGGAGCGAAATCGCTTAAGAAATGGACTCACGAGAAAGAGAACCTACGGGTACTTCCGACATCCCTAGTAGACTTATCACTAACACCTCCTTGGCTGTGTCTGTCAGCCCATTTTGTTGATTTATTTGTGAACCTTCTGATGGTATACAGTCCTGCGCCTATCAATCGCTGGCAATATCTCTCCAAAGAAGCACTGAAACAGTAGTGATGAACGAAAGTTTCTTTCCATGGATCGTTGAAAGATGTGAAGCAACTATCCATCCTGGGTTACTGACATCCTCAGTAGCAATGCACTCTACACCAAAGTCTATTTTAGGGCTCACTTTTGAAGACTGCCATCGGATTACCGACTGATGTTTTGGTTGAGGTGATTTAAGAGGCTTGAGGATCAGGCAGTGCTGAAGGCTTTCCGAAGTTGAAAACTCAAATGGAACGTAAAGTCGGTATAGCAGTGTGTTCTCCTATCTGTTCCCCACTTCAGAAGGCGAGGACCGCTGTGGAGCGAGGAGCGGCAGACTGCACCGAAAAACATACCGACAAATGTAACCTAAGTAGAATATAAAGGCCCACGCTGATGGAGGCCAGGTTTGCCAACGGTATGCTTCCGTATCGCAAAACTGATTAGATAACTATCCTATCCAGCTACAGACCGTTTTTTTAGTAATATTTTCCAGTGTTTTTTACTGCTGCAAATAAACAAATTTGCAACTAAACAGACACCCTCATGCGGGATCTCGCTCCATAAACGGGATTACGTTTGTTTGACCATTCACAAGTCTGAACAATCCCTTATGTATCCAGAGCTGCTTAGCAGATGGTCCATTCAACATGGGATAAATGTGCAACAGTGAATTGAATGCAATTCAATGGAAAAAAATTAACTTCAATTCAATTCCCTTGTAAAGAATGGATTCGATTACCATGGTAAAATTCCTCACTCGGTTTGCCAGTTCGATTCACTTCATCTCTATTGCTGAGTTATCAGTGGAATAACGATCATCTTCGGGCCCCACAAGTGAATATTTATGAAACGCAAGGCAACAAAGATATGATGCTGTTACGGCCGCTTTGTGCGAAAAAAATGGAAGGATATCATTGACCTACATCCCACCATATCGGCTTCCACTGACTACTATCCAGTATTAGAGCTCGAGTCGGATCAACGGTTAGTGTGAATTTACTGACTGGAAGGTTTGCCGTTCAGACCCAAACTCGGTATCTCGATTTCTCCTGTCTAGGCTTGGACAACTTAGTAGCATCTCAGCCCTCATGCTTCCTTCGCGTGACACCGAGTACTACAGCGAAAGAGCTTTGTGCGGGTGAAAGTAGCTCACTAAAGCAGAACAGTTTTACGGTTGCAGGTATTTCATGAAATCGAAGTCTATTATGATTCCTGCTTTTCAAGGAACAGGGGAGGTTTTGACAAACACTCAATTCAATCGATACTGAGATGATGCGACTCGGTTCGAGAAAGTCATTTGCGTATGCTCCATTCACTCCGCGTTAGTTGTTGAGTAAAACCAACTGTACAACATGGAGTTGTGGTCGTATCCAGGGGGTCAGTTTCTTCCTGGACCTTTCAGACAACGATAGTATGATTCTGATAATCAAAACAATCCGCAGCAAGCACGTCTGCATAAGTTAATTTCGGTTGAACGTTTTATTCAAAGCGGATCTAAGGGCAGAGAATTGAGATCGAAGAGATCGATCACCCGTTCTCGCTCTGAAGGAGAACTACAGCAAATCACTGCAATTACTATATAATGGGTCTCCTCTAGGCTTAGAAAACCTGGTAAAATCTCTCGCACCCCCTTTGGGTCGGGTGATAGCAATCCAACGATAGCTGATATGATTTTGCCTATGTAGGTGGTATGGTAAGCCTGACTGCTCGCAAGAAGCCTAATTTCACTCGGAGTTCAACGGGTAGGCATTGTATTCATCGGTCTAATCAGGGAGGACTGCAGCATCTCCCAGACTTCTAGATGAATATTTACGAAGACTTTACCCACTCGACATGATCGCCAAAGCGTGACAAAACCAAACGGAACATATGAGTACCACGAAGCGGTTCTCGTAGTCAGCCGATCTTGCAAAATCCTCCGTGAGGATCGGTGTTAGCAATAACGCTCGGTTGCGCTACGGCAGACCAATTTTATCGCAGGAGTCACTACTATTCCTGAGTACCACGAAGCGGTTCTCGTAGTCAGCTGTAGTGTATCTTTACGAATAACATTTTTCGATCTTGCAAAATCCTCCCTGAGGATCGGTGTTGGCAATAACGCTCGGTTGCGCTAAGACAGTCAAATTTTATCGCAGGAGTCACTATTATTCCTATTTGCCTCGCCCGCAAATGCTGTTGGAGGCCACGTTGTGGAAAAAAGTTAACCAGAAGCAGACAGAATAAAACTAGAACAACCAGTAAAAGTCACCCTTACTATGACAATTAGGAGATTTTTTGAGTTGAAGTTGGGGACAGTAAGTATATTTATGTGCGCCTTATCAGCGGAATAAAATTGTTTTCAGTCTGGTGTCTTCGACAAATCACTGCCAAGGCTGAAAGGATATAAGATCCTGTCGGTAATATCAAAACAAAAAACGCAGTTTAGTGAAATTCGCTGAGGTCGCCTGTAGTGGTTTCCGATAGACCGTTAACCAAAATGCACACTATATTAGTTCGAACGGGTGTGAGGTTGATACAAACGACCCCATAACAATGGACATGTGCAACAAGGGCCACTAAATTTATTTGAAAGATGATTGACAGTGCAAAATGCCTCCTGTTAGTAGTGGATAAGTGCTTCCTTCAAAACATAAATGTCTAATGAAACTCCGGAAGGTAGATCTTCAGCACATGAAACCTCCCCTAGAAGGGGCCCCTCCTCCAGTTGGGGGGGAATGAAGTGTACCGAGACTAGTAAGATTCAAAATGAAGCCAAGTAGCAAAAAATTGCTGCCCAGAAGTTATTTCCACTGGTATGAATGGTCTTCTGTATGTCAACTTCTCCAATCAACACGGAAAACTCCTGTTAGAGCATAATCTGCTGGGGGGCTAGTACCTGGAATTTGATTATTTTCTGGTTTTGAAATTGGTGCTTTCTGTCAGAAAGCATATCTTGGGCTGCAAAGCACATTTCACGAGTATAGCGCTTCTAAATACAAGTGTTCACTGCTAGCATGTAGTCTGTAATAATCGCACACGCATTTTTCAGTCATAAACAGTGTGCTATGGACAGATATACCTTCAAAACCTAGAACACCTTTAGTTTCTTGGTTTGCACAGCTACCGGGGCTCCAGAGCAATATTCTGGTCCGATAAGCTGTGGAAAGGCACTACTGTGAGCACGTGCTACTGAATAATCACGCCAGAGCAATATTCTGGTCCGATAAGCTGCGCAAAGGTACCACTGTGAGCATGTGCTAATGAATAACCAAGTAGCACAAACTACATAATCACTCAACTAGTAGATGTTTCGAGAGTATTTACTATGGAATTTTTCTCAGCCTTCCACGGGTTGTTTACTGTTGTGTGAATGTCGGTAAACTCACAAATATCCAACGGCGTGCCCAAAAGTGTTGCGCTTACTAGCACTCGATTCAAAACCGAAACAGGTCTGCTGTACGAAAAGCGGTGCTGCAAGGCATTCCTGAAAATTTCACTTGGAAAAAAGAAACGACGGATCCACGAAGTACGCAGGAAATATGGGCGGGAAAATAGACAGACCCAAAAAACGAAGGGACCAAACATTGTTGGAGCGACAATGTGGTGATGCAGACGTTACTTTTCTCAGAAAATGTATTCCAGTTTTGACTCGTCAACACACTATCTAGAACATGATGAAGTACAACGCAGGATCTGATCAGCGGACATGCTCAAAATAGATCGTCCAAGCAAGACTTGGACAACCTATTCGTCTTCATGCTTAACTAACCCCACAATCGGCTTCCAACGTCTTCAGGCTGGTCAGGTGGGTGTAGTCCCGAAAATCGTACCAATTGAAACATGAAGCTGTTTTTATACTGCATGTCCAGCCGAATAGTAGAGACTCAGCTGCGACGCAGCCGAGACTGCTGTTAAAACCAACCTAGTTTGCGAATGAGTCCATTTCGCGGAAATCCATTCCTCACTTCCTTTTTCTACGCACAATCAGGCTTCTGTTGAATAAGACAATATGGTACGTAAACAAGGAGAGCCAATGTGACCGCGTCAGTAACTGAATCCATCGGATTTCATTGGGCTCAGATAGGGCCTTTGAAAGTAGATTGAGTGGACTCACTTGCGAGCATCCTCAAGTATCTCCTCCTTTATGGCACCAGATTGGCTTGAGTTCAGAAAAGCACCTTGCACCGACGAAAACTTCGATGTAATCTGATCTTGCATTAGTGATATTAGAGGTGAAACGACCAAGGCTACAGATCCGTTTAGTTTCTAAAACAGTAACCGTCAGTATATGCCTGATGGCGCATACCTGGTAAATCAATGCAGGCATCTGGTAGCACAGTGATTTCCCAGCAGCTGTTGGTAATACAGCTAACGTAGACTGGCCACGCAGAATGCGTAGTGCAGTCAGTTTTTGACCTGGGCGAAAACTACTATGGCCAAAATGCTGGAGGCTATCTTGAAGCATTTCATTCAAGGTTGCCAACGTATGGCCCGTCAACGACTTTTGGACCGGGACTGAGGGAGGACAGCGGATGAAGTCTTCGAATTGAATTCCATGGTACTTTTCATCAAGAGTCTTGCACTCTAGAATACGCCAGGAAGATGAGGCTAACTTGAAGGCATGCTGGTCCGGAGTGTGCGAATCGCCTAAAGGTTTGGATTCCATTACCGATAGAGGGCACTTATTAGCCCAGTGACCCTCTTGGCCACATCGGTAACAAGAAGTCCCATCTCTAGGTGCTTTTGAAGTACCATATTTGCGTTTGAATTTGGCAAGTCTGGCTTTTCGTTGCAAAGCCTTTTGGCGAAGTGTGCCCTTCTTGCTGAAGCATTTTTTCCTTAAATTCAGTTTTAAAAAGTTGTGTGTGGGCTCGGGACGTTCTCGTGGATACCGCGATCCGACACTCGGACATCTCGGTGGGAAATCATCTGACCGAGTGTGCGACGAAGGTATAGGGGAAATTGACCCAGGCAGCATTGTAGCGGCCCTCCTCGGCGACAAGGAAGGCACCTCTGGGCTTTTGCACAAAGACTCCGGCTGCATGGTCTCGCTATGAATAGGAACAGGAGCGAATGACTTTCCTGATGTTTCCACGTGGGGAATCGGATTCACCTCCACTACAACCCCAGATGTTGAAAGGACTTTGCCCATAAACGATCCTCTTCTTGGCACACAGGATCGACGGAGAGTTGCGGTGATTTTTGGCTGTTCACCGTTTGTTTTTTTGTCAGCGCTGATCGAACCCGGAAGCACGACAACAGGTTTTATAGGCGGAGGGTCAGGCGATACACTAATTCTGGGTTCCCCGATCGATTCAAAGGTGCACGGTACATTTTCCTTTTGCTCTATTTCAGTATAACTGGGCTGTGGCAAACTAAAAAGTTGTACCACACGATGCTGCTTCTGTAGAGATACCTTTGATACCAACTGATCTGTTTGCGCAGTCAACAAGTTTTGTTTCAGTTTCGTGGCATATTTTTCCTGTGAACAAATGGTCTTATTCACCGCACTCTTCTTTTGTTTGATCGGAATATCCCAAGGGTTTTCTGTGACTACATCACTCATTCTTTAACACCTAAAAATGAAAAGAACATGTCAAAACAACGGTAAAGTATCCATAAAATTATCAAGCAGAAAACCTGAACCAAGAATAAACAAATGTTGTGAGTCGTTGAAACTGAAAGCAGGTGTGAAAATTGCAGCCGTCATTGAGCTTATATTCGCCAGCGTCCCAACCAAGTCCATCCGGCGTCATACTTCTCATCATCATTGAGATCAATACTAAAGGATAACCTTGGTGCTTCACTGCCATACAACCATGACCATTTGAATAGTGCCTTATAACAGAAAGAAGAAACAGTGGGACTTGAAGGGGGAAGCAGAGTTAGTCTAAGGCAAACATACGAGGTGCCTACACCTCCAACACTCAGTTACACGATATGAATGGGAAGTGACGTTAGTCAGCTGCCTTATCGTTCAGTACCACAGCCAGTCACCGGAGGGTCATGTGGATCCCATCCTGCAAGGTGGATAGCATCAATGGCAATCTAAGTTTGCGCAACACCCTGGATTCCTCTTTCCAATGCCAGATTCTGTGCACCTCTAATTTTTCGCAGCTCCTGATTAGGCACGTAAACACAGCTCGACTCAACAGACGGTAAACCGGCATACGTAGCACATGGTACAAAAATCTTTGTTTGCAATACTTGAGTAAAGTGCCTTATGCATCACCAAAGACCCGTTTTCGGATTAGATTACTGCGAATTCGCTGACTTTAACCGACTACAGTTACAGTCTAGAGCTGTCAGAGACTTGAGGAGATCTCAGATGCTCCACCCGAAGTGATCGAGTCTCGTAGTCGTACAACAATATACGTGCACGCACCCTTTGAGATCCAGCGAGATGCCCTTTTGACGCCACCAGTGGCTGAATGGGCAAACGCCGTTTCAGCCCTTGAGATTCGCGCGCTGATATCGTCTGTCATACTATTGCTAGAACTAGCGCAACTCCCGAGATAATGACAATGTCGTCCGCAGATTTCAGGTTGACAGGGTTCTCACTTGGAGAGATTTGGAAACCGGGATTTTCGGGAACTTCAACAGTTTACCTCACCGTCATATTGATGAAGGAATTAAGAAAAAATAGGGAGCGCACACCCCCGTCGGATGTATATATCGTACTGATCAGGTGTCGCACCCTTTCGGTGCCCATCTGCCATGCCACCCGAAGGAAGCACGAGGGCTGGGATACTGTCAGGTTGCCCAAGCCTAGACAGATGAAGTTGAGAGGCAGAGGTCGGGTTCGAACCACGGAACTTCAGGTCAGTAAATTCAGACATACCGCTTGTAGTATAGCTTTTAGAGAGTTCCCCACCCTTAAGCACATAAGTGTATGGAAATCACACAGCGCACGATATTCGTACGAAAATAGGACACGCCCTGTCGCGCAATTGTGTTGAATAGCACGAACTGGTTGATGGGATCAGGGAACACCAATAGTGCTGTTGCTCCAACACCTGACAAAGTATGACGATGGGGTCCACACAGCCCATTCCTGGCCGAAATCTTGCTTGTTACCCTAGTCACATGCCTTGGTAGGACGACCCACAATAAGCGATAAAGAGTCTCCCTGTGACTGCCACACTCATTCAGAGTACTCCCTTTGAAAATGGGCATCCTTATCGACCCATCCCAGTTGGTTGGGGCGATCTCTTCCACCCTAATAAAGGCCAATAATACGACCCACAATAAGCGATAAAGAGTCTCCTTGTGACTGCCACACTCATTCAGAGTGCTCACTTTGAAAATGGGCATCCCTATCGACCCATCCCAGTTGGCTGGGGCGATCTATTCCACCCTAATAAAGGCAAATAAGTTGGACAATCACTGGCTGGGGATATCACCCACATTCGAACAGAGTGAGTGGAATTTCGTCAGGACTAGTAGATCGGTGGCGCTCGAAAGAGGCTTACTTCCGGAGCTGTCGCCGGAAAGTGGGAGTGCAGGACATGCAGCCAAACCTTGGAGGTGATCACATGCTCGCTTAGTTCGGGAACCGAATGGCTACGCATTGGAGGCGGCAGCTTTGATACACAAACGCGACTGAGTGCACGATTGGGCCATTACTGCCAGTGTCATTAACCATTGGTGAGTTCGAACTATGGGGTCCCTATCGAGGGAGGCAGCAATTGTTAAACCGACAAATTTTTCATAATTCGTTGTCAACTCCCCATCCGTTCACATACCGGTCACTTCCACTTAGCACGGAGGTGAGCGAAAAGAGCCCTGCGAGGAAGACGGTCTTCTGGCATGCGGAGTATATGTCCTACCGAGCGTAGACTATAAGGCGTTAGTGATTCATCTATTGCAACATTACAAATCCGAACTTCCCACCAGACTAGACCAATGCTTCGGAGACACCAACGATCAAGCACTGACAACATTCGTATGTCATATGCGTCGAGGCCAGGTTTATGATCCACAAAATGGTACGGGTCGCACTTCTGCAGTGTAAATTCTGTCCTTGATAGAGAAATTGATGTCAGGTCGACGCCGTAGGCATCGGAGGCTAACAAAACTATCCTGAACTTCCCGACTCGACAAATAATCCTATATCTTCACAAGTAATCTCATCTCATTCCTCGATATAAAGCTGTCTCCTTGTCATGGTGGTCGAGCTTATGTGCTACAATCATCCTACGGGCTACACTGGCTGGAACTCGAGACCAGCGGGGATCAGCCCGACGAAGAACAGCGATTCACCGTACTGCGAGGAATAGTAGTACGAGACGGTCCGGAGGTGAAACCGTACTGTCCTCTGTGATAGGGGTCTGAAGGCAGTAAGGCGTTTCCCACCGGGGACCAGAATGTCCATATTTGTGGAAGCAGCGACGCTGCCTTCCGCCGCGGAAGGACGAGGTAGAAAAGATGGGCCATCAACACCGCACATCCCGATCGGCTAAAAGTTGATCGTGACCGCCGGCGCATGTGGTGGAAATACTTAATTCCAGCGTCCTCCAACAAGGGAGGCGGCCTACAGCATAGTGAGTCAGGCTATTGAGTCACTTACTCCGGGAAGCGTCCCTCAAGAAATCCCAAAAACTGCTGCCTCGTGGATGAGATTTTTGAGTTATAGACTAGGAACAGGGTCTTCAACCAAACCCTACATAATCCCACTGCCTTGTGGATCAGAATTTTGAATCAAAGGCTCAAGGTGGGTTACATCAACAAAGTCCCATTCTTCGGCATGGGCAACCGGGAAGTATGATTCGCGCTTACAGTTGTTCGCTCACCGACCTTCCACCACGCTCCCTGTTGTGTCTTTCTGGACGGTCGTGCAACTCTGTATCGATTCTGTGGCTTCCTGCTTCGCTAATTATGGTATATTAAAGGGCACGGTAGCTCTACACAGGCCTTTATGGAGACAAAGGAAAAGTAGTACAGCCGTATTTATAGGGCAATGGCAGAATGTTCCACAAGGTCATGCTAGAATCTCCGTGAGGGGTCGAGAAGCACCGAGTCAAAGATGCTTTATCCGGAATGGCTGGTATTCTGATCAATCAGGGCATGTCCGTATCCTGCAAGTGACATCCCTCCAGATGATGCGATGTTCGATTATTAGGAACGGCTCTCTTCCCCACCCATCGGACATTGCGACCAGCCCAACTACTAGTCCCCTAATCATTGTTGTGTCATAACTGTCGCCCCGAAAAATGAACCAAAATGATCACTTGCTAACCCCAAAAAATTTGATCCATGGTCGCAGCATTTTTTGCTGAGACCTTGTTTCCCTTATTTGTAGATGTACGTTGCGTCTCCGAAACAGGCACACACTTTCGTCGTGCACCAAAAGTCGCCTAAGTAGAGTTCACATGTTCCACATTTCACTCTTCGGGTATCCGGTGATCCTGACGCAATGGCCAATAGGAGTGTGTGGGAGTTGCATTCAGCCCCGAAGCTGAAGGCACTTCACTGGACTGTATCCCATTAAGCAGTCTTCCTTAGACTGTGCGGTTGGTTGGCTCAGTTAAAATCAATGCAGGTGTTTATTTGTCGTATCAGCATACGCCCCGAAAAACTGCAGTTCTGAGGCTAAGAAAGAAGGGTTTTATTGAGATCCGCCACGGCTGCTTATAAACACACCTGATACCAGGCTATAAGCCAAACAACAGGTCACATGAAAATGGGGGAATAGTCCAATATGTATGTTACGTTTAGTTGAAATTTCGTTTTTTTAGTTCTTTTGCAAAATAATCACGACCACAAGCCTTTGAACGCCATCGCCACTGTTTACTTCCGTGCGTCCTACCTTCAAGGGCCATTAGCTAGAGCCAACCCGCTTTTCGGACCATGACCAGGAAGCCGTCATCAACCGATAGTAGGTTATCCAGGCATAACTTTTTCTTACCTTTGAGAATGATGCTATGCTGTAATAACCTAATTCTGGTTTCCACCAACATCCAACATGCACAAACAGAGCGCTGACAAGGCACACGTAGGGTGCGCCATATCCCATTCAGCGGGTGGTTTACTATTCATTCAACGGATTCTAGTAGATGGTTCTGATTCAATAACAACTATTCAGATTGCTGCTAAAATGGCTGAAGATAGCGCTCGGTCCTGAGTATAAACAAATGGAGTAGGATGTGTACAATGATGAGTGTCTTTACCCGACACCGACGGGAAAATCAGCGTGGGAATGAGGCATGTTAGCTCTAGAATTTGTGTAGTGGAATAATAAATGTGTTAGGACGGTTATATCCTAACGAGCAGTTACGTAGATAACAAAATGGTAGTCGTTCAGCCTCAAAACCCTTTCGCTGCCTAGCTGAAAAAAAAATAATATCGTCCAGCTGTAACACCCTTTCGGTGTCTAGCTGCCATGCCACCCGAAGGAATAACGAGGGTTGGGATACAGCCAGGTTGCCCAAGTCTGGACGGGGAGTCGTGGGGTAACGGTCGGGTTCCAACCACTACCTCTCGGCCAGTAAATTCGTGCTCTAACCACTGAGCCAACTTGCCCCTATCTGGCTGATTTCACACCCGAAGAAGGCATGGCGGTTGAGGCACTGCCAGGTTGTCCAAGCCTAAACAGGAGCAATCCAGAAACTGAGGCCTTCCAATCAGTACGTTCACACCTCAACTATCGAGCTATCTCAGGCTCAGTAGTGGAACATAATGGCTCAGACGTTGAAAGGGAGGATATAAATGCCAAGAAACGGTAGCGAGTGCGCGATGAAGTTGTGCGTAAGCGGATACGTACCGGATTGAAGTGGTATGGGGCACGCTTTACGCATACCCAATTAAAGGCTGCCGAGCGACTGTTGGCAAAAGGGTCGCGGGGGACAGGTCGTGATATGGCAACGTGAAATGAATGTAGTTACTGGCGAACTGAGTGCTGTGGGACCTCCATGTATTCCTGGCTATGACCCACTTGATTCTGTTTGCAAGTGGTTTGAAATCCTGCAGCACGTAGTGCGAAAAAGATCCTAGTAGGGCGCACGCTATTACTTTATAGTCGGATAGGATAGCTGGAAACTACATGCCATTAACAAAGGACGCTAGGTCNCTGGAACTCGAGACCAGCGGGGATCAGCCCGACGAAGAACAGCGATTCACCGTACTGCGAGGAATAGTAGTACGAGACGGTCCGGAGGTGAAACCGTACTGTCCTCTGTGATAGGGGTCTGAAGGCAGTAAGGCGTTTCCCACCGGGGACCAGAATGTCCATATTTGTGGAAGCAGCGACGCTGCCTTCCGCCGCGGAAGGACGAGGTAGAAAAGATGGGCCATCAACACCGCATATCCCGATCGGCTAAAAGTTGATCGTGACCGCCGGCGCATGTGGTGGAAATACTTAATTCCAGCGTCCTCCAACAAGGGAGGCGGCCTACAGCATAGTGAGTCAGGCTATTGAGTCACTTACTCCGGGAAGCGTCCCTCAAGAAATCCCAAAAACTGCTGCCTCGTGGATGAGATTTTTGAGTTATAGACTAGGAACAGGGTCTTCAACCAAACCCTACATAATCCCACTGCCTTGTGGATCAGAATTTTGAATCAAAGGCTCAAGGTGGGTTACATCAACAAAGTCCCATTCTTCGGCATGGGCAACCGGGAAGTATGATTCGCGCTTACAGTTGTTCGCTCACCGACCTTCCACCACGCTCCCTGTTGTGTCTTTCTGGACGGTCGTGCAACTCTGTATCGATTCTGTGGCTTCCTGCTTCGCTAATTATGGTATATTAAAGGGCACGGTAGCTCTACACAGGCCTTTATGGAGACAAAGGAAAAGTAGTACAGCCGTATTTATAGGGCAATGGCAGAATGTTCCACAAGGTCATGCTAGAATCTCTGTGAGGGGTCGAGAAGCACCGAGTCAAAGATGCTTTATCCGGAATGGCTGGTATTCTGATCAATCAGGGCATGTCCGTATCCTGCAAGTGACATCCCTCCAGATGATGCGATGTTCGATTATTAGGAACGGCTCTCTTCCCCACCCATCGGACATTGCGACCAGCCCAACTACTAGTCCCCTAATCATTGTTGTGTCATAACTGTCGCCCCGAAAAATGAACCAAAATGATCACTTGCTAACCCCAAAAAATTTGATCCATGGTCGCAGCATTTTTTGCTGAGACCTTGTTTCCCTTATTTGTAGATGTACGTTGCGTCTCCGAAACAGGCACACACTTTCGTCGTGCACCAAAAGTCGCCTAAGTAGAGTTCACATGTTCCACATTTCACTTTTCGGGTATCCGGTGATCCTGACGCAATGGCCAATAGGAGTGTGTGGGAGTTGCATTCAGCCCCGAAGCTGAAGGCACTTCACTGGACTGTATCCCATTAAGCAGTCTTCCTTAGACTGTGCGGTTGGTTGGCTCAGTTAAAATCAATGCAGGTGTTTATTTGTCGTATCAGCATACGCCCCGAAAAACTGCAGTTCTGAGGCTAAGAAAGAAGGGTTTTATTGAGATCCGCCACGGTGCCTTATAAACACACCTGATACCAGGCTATAAGCCAAACAACAGGTCACATGAAAATGGGGGAATAGTCCAATATGTATGTTCGTTTA